ATGCACAAGTAGCTCTACCGATGTGAAGAAAAGCATTCACAAAGCCCAAAGGTAGATAAGCATGAAAGCTGTTGCAAGGATCAAGGATTTGTACTGATTTTATGTATCTTGCTGTCTCTTGTAATAATGCTGATATACACATGTAAAAGTGAAAAAAGCCAGTCGAAAGAAACCTAACGAAAATTTGGAAGAGTAGGTCGAGCAATTTTGAAACATGAGATGTACTTTAAGAAATTTTTCCTTTCTAGGTAGGCTGTTGTAAGACGTCCCATCACAGAGAAGCCACCAAGGTAGAGCGCAGTAGACCTAAGTCTCCAGATGGTTCCCATCTCCTAGCTCTTTCCCACCTTAATTTAGTACAGAAATTGTCTCCTACAAACAAGCACCCAAATTACTACAGCAGCAAAGCTATATCACACAAGCTAGTTCACAGTATAACAATTATATTGGCTTGAAAAACCTGAACACAGCAGTGTTCCTAGCAAAGCATATAGCATATATTGAGATCATTACATAACAAATACAAAATCACAAGTCATTCAAACCAGTTTATTTACAGTCATATCAGAATAATCAAAGTAATTTTTATAAGAGTAAATATACATTTATAAAAATAGTTTATATCTGATTGTATCTCCCCATGCCAGTTGGCTCAAGCCCCAAACCTTGTGCCATGCGGGAGGACTCTTGCTGATTTTAATAGGGCTCCGTGTGAAACCAGGAGTCTACCCATGGAGAGCTGATTGCAGGGCGAGGATGCAGTCTGGCAGGAATTCGGGGCATGTGTCTTGCCTTTCTCTGCACAGCAGCTAACACAACCCAATCCCAGGGCCTGGGCCCTACTGACATAGATTTTAACTACAGTTAGTGACAAGTACTCACAGAACACTTGCATCAGTAAAGGATTTGAGTTCTTTGCATCGTCTACATGCATTTTGTTGTTGGTGGTGCTTTCCCCCCACCAGTTTTACAGGTTTTTGTGCTTATCATTTACAAAATGTCGTCTCAATTTCCACATTTAAGCCATTTAGGGATGAACAAAACAAGTGAGCTTCAGGAATTGCTAGTTGCCTTCAACAGCTGCTGAAAGAAAGTTGTGCTTTATGAATAGTCTAAATATGGATTTGCCCACATCCCTCACCCATTCCATTGGGCATATATCCAAGATGAAATGAACTGATTTTAAATTAACTCTTAGGCTCTGTACTAGGCATGATTGTCACATTTTGTATTAAGTAAGATTCCGTACATTCTTGAAATAGAAGAAATACTTCACAGAATTGCATACATACTATTTTTAAATTCAAATACTCGGGTCCTCCTAAGATAGTAGATGTCTTTTGTTTGACGATATCCTTAAGTAAATGGATCGCCTGTGCTATGGAGAAATGAAGTGCTGTGCTTTCTCCACTCTAACATTCCAGAGAACAGTAAGAAGAGTTATAAGCATCCTTTTAAATCACAGTGTGATCTGTCGCTCAGCAAGTATGGCCTGGCTGGGGGTCTCTGCTGTGCACCCTGAGTGTGTTTCTCAAATGGCATTTTCATATTTGGGTATGAGAAAAGAATGGAAATCATGAGTAAATCAAAGACGATAGCTTGGGGATACAGAGTACTTGTTAGCAATAGTCCAGGTTGGCTTTTATTAACAGCCATGCAAAAGCAGATTATCAACAACCTTTACAAAGACCATAATTTATTCTTTTGGAAACCACAACATTAAGAGAAACTTCGGAGTGCAAAGATGAAAGACAAACAAAGGAATACGGTCTCTGCAAGTGTACAGTGCGTGAACTGCCTGGTCAGAGTAGCCTCTTTAACAGACTGCCATGAACGACCTTAATAGAGCAATGAATCAATAAGGCTACTTCGGAGGCTCTGGGGATGAGCAGAATGATCTGGCAGAATGTAAAAGTTATTTAATAACTTAAGTCCTTAGAGTCTTCATTAGCTATTTTAATGATTTGTCTTAGAAAGGAACCACCTATAAATATAATAGTCTATAAAAGAGCTTGTTTACAGCCTTGCTTGCGTCCAAGTCAAACACGTAAAAAATGTGAGCAAGGTGCAGGAAGAGGCACGCCCAGGGTGTCCTGTAAAGTCAGGATTTACCTGACTATTGGCAACCAGCAAGGCCAACAGCACACAAGGAAGTCTTTGAAATTTGCTATAGCAGAGAAGAATTGATTAACTTTCTAACTTTTAAAATACGTGAGAAACACTTGAAAATTGCTGGAACTTCATCAATGCTATCATCAGTTTCCAGGTGTGCTATGGGGTCTCCTGAAAAGTAGAAAGCTAGGCTGAACTCTACTTTGGTTTTGCTGTTTGTTTTTTTTTAAATGAACAATTCATTATGTGTCATAAGTGATCGTAGACCTCATGAAACCTGCCAGATCAACACTGCTTAGAAAAGACCTCCAGGCTGGCAGCTGGACATCATTCACACTCAGGTCAGGAAAAGTTTGGGAAATTCTATCCAACCATACAAGAGTTAAAGATGAAAAAAAAAGAAGATACAGGAAATTAAGGAGAGACCTGGCGAAGGTAAAAACCTTTGCTTTCATCCTGGAATTAGGATATTTTACACTGATGCAGAGGTTATCCCATTGTGGGTTACTGTCAATCCCATTCAAGTAGATCAGCTACTGTAGATTCCTTCAGTTTGCACAGACTGCTTTATTTAGAAAAAAAAATCTGCCACCATGAAAACAGCATTTTATTTAAAACCTTTAGTCTTGTGCTGCTGCAGGCATGCTTACAACAGGCGGAGTCTAACAAAATTACATCCCCTAAACTGCGGATCATTGTCAGAGATAAACAAGATCAATTAGGGGGTGCAATAGCTGTAGCCAGTCAATTCTGGAGATGTTCTGAGTGATAAAATTAAGTGAGGCTGCTAGAAGGAAATTACACAAACCCATCTAATTCGGCTCCAAACTTATTTCTTGAACTAGGCAATGCCCAAGCAAGTAAGGCTGCTTCAGCGCAAGGGCATGGTACAACTGGCAGTGTGCTCACTTCCATTTAATTGAGTGATGTCTCCTGAATGCCTGTCTTTCCTATTCTTCTGGGAGAATTGCTTAAATTTGCATCTATTTCCATAACACATCCTTACCTGCCATTTCCTCAAACAGAAATTAACTTCTACCAGGAATATTATATAAAATGAGAGAGAAGCTCTTTTTCATTTATTTCCAGTAGGTCTTCTTTTTGTTATGAGTGTTTATTTTCTTTTTATGGAGTTTTTACTATTTTTTGTTAATATTTTTACTGATATGATTTCTCCAATTTATGCACTAACGGAACACTCTGCCGTAATGGCTTTGTATTAAAAGGAGCACAGAAAGGAAGTTTTCCTACAGATGGCTGTCTATCACAACACCCATTTGAACAGAGCTTGAAAACATTGTTGTCATATTTGTTATAGGGTAAGGCAGCCACAGGCACATTATAGTTGCATTTTCAATCTTTAAATTGAAAGGAGGAAAATATATTTCAACACAGCTATACTGCAGTTACACTTTGAGTACATTACATTCACATTTGTGGCTCATTATCAGCAATGTATCAAATATCTAGAAGGATTTCGGCAAAAACAATAAAACTGATTACAGTCCTGGAGGGGTTGACTATGTGCCATGTATATATGGCCAGCCATGCATATAGCTACAGAAACTACACCAGACAACAATCTACGTGTATCAACTGTACTAAGCTGGAGCAAAAACAAGAGGTGCCAGGATGCTCGATATTAAGATGCATGACTCCTTGACACGTGGCGTCAGGAGCAGAGACCTTGAAAGCAGGAGCCCGAGGGCAGGGCTGAGCCGGCAGCTCAGGAGCCCACATTCGTCCCCTTGCCGAGCCCAGGGCCACCAGCCATGAGCACGAAGTGCAGCCCCTTGGGAGCCACAGCACTCCATGCACCTGGTCCTCCCAGTGAAAACAAAGCAGGAGTTGCTCCTTTCTTTTAAAAGAAGTGAGCAAGTACTGCTTCCACCAATTTATTTTTTTTTTCTGCAGGACATGGAAAGAGACAGATCTAGTCAGGATATGAGCACCAGCTCAACCATGCCTCATCTGTCCGTGAATGACCATGCTCAGTTACATTTGTCCTACAAATGCATCTGACCCTTCCAGGCTAATGGCTTTACTGGACTTCTAGAAGCTGTTCCCCGTGTCAGATTTATTCCGTATGAGGGAGACTGCTGCTATATTAAAAGAAAATCATCTACAATTGGAGCCAAGTTTTAAATCAGGCATCTGTAGAAGTTGCCAGACATCTCAGGAATGATGGGCAGAGGAACACCTAGTTTTCTGATCTGATTTAGGCATAAAATTTCTGTCTGGCCTTGTCAAGAGGAAATGTTTACAGAAATATTAAGGAAGAGGAGTTTACTACCCAACCCGATGCCCAGGAAGTTTGTGTGCCTGCAGGATTAGCAGACATGCACTTATTTCAGGCTAATGTACCTTCATTCCATTTTGGATCTGGGTTCATGTGCTGTATCCAAACCTTCTACATCCTGATCTTTACAGATCAGCCAAACCTCTGGTTATTAGCTTTTAATTACAACCATGTCAGTAAGTGATAAGGTTGTCCAAGCCCACTGGACTGTGCTGGAAAGGCTGATTGTCAATGCTGAGACGCTGTATTTCAGTTGCAGATAACCTGAGCAAGACCAAGGCGAAAAGCATGATCACTGCAATTATCGTGATTCTGGTTCTCAGTTTACTGAGTTCCCTTCTGAGTTCTGGATTCAGCTGCACTAATGCTGTCAGTAATCCCTACCAGACATTTTTGGGACCCACCGGAGTCTATACCTGGAATTCCTTATGCGGTGAGTAATGCATCCCGTGCTGACCACTTGCTGACCACCATACAGATGAATACTGTATTCTCATCGATTCCAAGATTAAGAAATATATATCTATAAAAGGACACACTTGGAAAAGTATTCTGTTCAGTTGGTTTTGTTTTTTAACCATTTCTGCTGGGATACCTGAAAACTATCTTTTAAGTACCAGTAAAATAGTATTATTTACTTGAAGTGGCACCGTTGATCAGTAGGAGTCTGGATTCACTGGCAGCAAAAATGGAAATGAAAAAGCCCCAACAGGTGTAGCATTATTTCATGCATGATGCACATCGAGAAGAACACAGTAAGCTGACAAATACAGAACAAATACAGAATGACAGAAAAGTATGCACTGGATGTGACTACAGTGCAATTTGTAACCTCTTTAAGACCTTATATCACTATTTTATGGTATTTGTAGCATATTTGTTGCTGGGTTACCTACATACCAAATTAGGCCTCTAAGGTCTAATCTATAGGATTCATCTAATCTAGCTTCATTTCTGAAAAATGTGTTGAATTGAATACACCCACAACAGCATTAAACACAGGGCACTGGCAGTTAGGAGGACTGAGTCATGGCAAAATTTATTTCCTTCTCTAAAAAGCACTTTCACAGATCAAAATAAGTTTTAACATTTCCTAAGCAGAAAAAAAATGGTAGAGACGCTGAGTTGTTAGAGACATGAACTCTGTCAAACAGCTCCCTGGAGGTGTGACCTCTCGTTCACCCAGTAGGCTTGAGCCTCGCTGCTCCTAATGCACCTTGCTACCCTCTGCATCTTGCTATGGTAATGACTTCAGCTCTCACACTCAATTTGTCTTAGGAGGATTATGCATTCCCCTAATATTAGGTTTGCACTTGGAAAATTTGTTTTAGAGACATCTGATTACAGAGTACTTCAGCACTGGCGTTTTGTCCTTCAAAAGCTCTTTAGGTCCGAAGATGCTCCACTTGCTGAGTGGGAGCTTGCCTTCCCTTGAGCAGTGTCCTGTCCTGGGGCTGCACTCTGAGAGCTGCCTTTGCCAAAATCAGGCCTTGGTGGAAAGGGAATCGTATAAACGCAGTCTTAATCATAACAAGTACAGGTGGGGTTGTGAAACCCACCCCTTTTTCTCCAACCATGTCTAACAGAGCATATAAAGATAGATGCTGAAACAGCTGTGGATGCCTTGAAACACAATAAGTGAGCAAAAGCCTATATTAGACAATTATTTAACTTTTGAGACAACCAGATCATTGTCTTATTGCATGAGAAAGTTCATTTCCCGAGCCCAGCACCTGTTAGGCAGCCTGAATCTGCAAGCTTTGACCTGAAATGAAAGGACCATGGGCTTGCCAAAATAAATATTAGTGAGAAAGTAAACCCCCATGTGGACTGAGGATTGTGGTTACTTTTTACAGCCCTGTAAGTGCTATGACCAGTCTATTTTGCTGTGGGCATATTTTTATGAAAAATCATGCATCATGTAATGTGTGAGTGTATCTTGAAGATTCCTAATTCTCCTACCAGATGACCTGAAAGTCCAGCGTCCTCCTGCAAAAACCTGAACCTGTTTCAGAGGGACCATCTGTAGGATGGTGTGCCTGGAGGGAAGGAATAGAAATATTTTCACCAATGTTCAGGGATTATACCTCTGTTAGCACTATGAAAGCAGAGATGTAAAAGCATTATTTAGCTAAAAGTCGAAGTAACCAAATTCCACTTATATTCAGAAGGCTATAGGAAATAGATACAGGTCTAATAAGACATTTTGGCTCATCACAGAGTAGTTGAATAATTCAGGTTGGAAAAAAGGTGAGGTCTCTAAGCCTAAGCTCTTGAGCAAAGCTGGGCCAACCCTGAATGCAGACCAGGTTGCTCAGGGTTTTATCCAGTTGTGATACCGCATATCCCATGAATTTGGGCTCATATCAAATAGGCATTCTGCAAATCATCGAAGGGGTGAATATATTATACTCATCAGCGCTAAATTCAATGAAAAAAAATTACATTGAATAGCCTTATCTAAGAATAGTCAGTGAGAATCCATTAATTTTAGCAGAACATATAGTTACCAATGTCAAAACACCTGGCAGATACTATTAGGTGGGACAAAAATTCTTGAAATGCCCTCATATTTTACTAATGGAAAAATATTAGATTAATCTTTGTCCTAGTCCAGGTATTCTAACCAATTTAAGTAGACTATTTACAAGTAGCTACATAAATAATACTACAGTTCCACCTCTAACATTTGTATTTATATTTTCTAGGAATCTTCGTACTTATAGCCATGATACTTTTTCCTGTGAACATAGAAGAAAATGGCCTGTCTGTAGAACTGGCCCGTGGATGCTTTTCTTTTCTGAACAGGCATATCAAATCTGCACACACTTATGGGTATTCATATTGGATCATGCTGCTCATCATTTTTCTGAACATTGCTTCTATCATCATCATATATTTCTATGACCATGCAAGATATTATAAGAAGAAAGAGCAGGAAAGACCCATTGAAAATGCACCAAAAGATGTCATTCTGTTTTAAGGATGCCACTGAAAAGAAGGTGTAAAGGAAAATGACTATTTAATGTGGACAATCACGGCTGATCATTTCCATTCAAATTGAAGCTGTGTGTATAGTTCAATTAACAAAATATCCTATTATGTCTTCAAAGCAGTTTGATTTTATCTTTATGTTAGGTATTAGTGTAATACTTATAAGTTTTCATTGGTAAATGTGCTGCCTAAACACCTCTGAGTAGATATGCCCCGAAGTGCATGGTGCCAGCACCGTCCTGTAGGAATGGACCTCATGCACCTTACGGCTCTGCTCTTCCCCAGAGTGATCACTGTGAAAACACGCTCCTAGAAGGGTTCTTCCTCTCCATACCACCACCACCGCCTTTCCAAGAGGACTGCCGCCCTCTTGCCCACGCAGCGCAGAGAGGCTTGTTCCCACCTCTGCTTTCTGGATTTTGCTGGACCACAGCCTTTCTGCAGGGGTGCACCAACATCGGCACCACCGAGTGCATTTCTGCTTCTCCCTTTGGGTCTGAATGGGAAGATCAGAGACATTGTTTTGGTTGTGTATGTAATTTGGGATCTCAAAGGGCAGAAATAGTGCAAACATCAGGAACCCTGGGGGTGGGCAGAAATAGTGCAAACATCAGGAACCCTGGGGGTGATGAGAAATGGTCACTAAGGTATCAGTGCATCGTTTTGTCCTGCAATTCTTACTGCTGTCCTTTCCCTGCTTAGGGATGCTCTCCCGCAGGTCCCTATAGCACTGCCCCAGTGACCGCGGGCAGGCTTGCAGGCTCCTGTTCATGAACAGTAGTGTGAGCACTTGAATGAACTTGCTTGCAGTCACAGTTGCCTTCACATCAAATCTCCCAACAGTGACAGCACTGACCCTGTCCACGCTTCCTTCACTCGGTGCTTTCGTCCATGGCTGGGGTGGCAGACAGGGCAGCAGTAGCAAGAGGATGGGCCATGGCCTCTAGAAGACAGCATAGGAGCCCAGTATCTGCAAGTTATTAATTTGTACAAACATTAGCAAAATCCTGTTTCAGGCTATTTATAGACCCTTGATTACTGTTGACAGCAAACGGCAAAGCTGCACCTTGAGCAGGTGTGGCCGTCCCCTTCCCCACCCGCTATGCCAGACTGTCATTTTGCCCTGACACAAAAGCCAAATAGTGGGCTTTTGTAGTGATGATTTATGGCCAGTACCATCCCTATGCCCAGTTTAATTAGTATGTAATGTGCACACAAAGACACACAACTGTAGAACTGCACAGAAGTGGGAGCTCCCTTCCTGTCCCTCCTCCCAAGGGAAGGTTAGTGGATGAATGTGACCTCGCAACAAATGCCATCGCGCAAAATCATGCTTAGTGCACGTGCCCCAGGAGAAGTGCACCATGCAAAATGGTGGTCAGCACCTTCTGCTCCTTTGCTCCTCACCTCTGCAGCTAGGAGAGCAATTTTTTTATCGTGTCATTTTCCTTTACAATATGATTTTCACAGTCATGCTTGATAGCTGTCCTATGATACAAGAGATGCTCATGGAGGGAAAAAAAGCATTTCTGAAGAGGGGATGAGAAGACACAAGAGGTGACTTCTCACTATTTATGTCAAAAAATAAAGTTTCAGGATTAAAGTGCCCAATACTTTATGCAGCTGTGCTCTTTCAAAGGAATCAAAGCATAGGGCTTTTCCATCCTGCTTAAGCATTTGACTAAACTTATGATGAGGGCACGGGGGGGATGGGGGGAGGGTTTCTAAGACTTGAGGGGTGGCACGGGTCAACAAAATAAGAGATGTTATCTGCTCTCCACTGCTGACAAGAACCATGCCTAGAACTGCTTTTCAGTGCTGTAAACATTGCAGTTAAACCATCAGATATTGTGCACCCGCAAGCTAAGCTGGCGGAAAGCCAAACATTTGCCAGTTTTGCTTTGGCTGCAAAAATTTTCACACAGTTTCAGCATGCATCTGTCACTGTTGTACTCAGCCAGCATCCATCACACAATGCAATTACACTTATATCAGGCACTTGCTCGCAGAGAAATAAAGTCGTCGTAATAGAATAATACAGGAGGAGCTGGGGCTCCTGCTTTGAAAAGCAGTTGCTTACCATTGCTTGGGCATTTCTATTGCACTGAAGTACTAATTCCCATGGAAGAACCGGAAGAAAAAAACCAAACATTCCCATTTTTCTGTGCCTGTTTGAACCACCTGGCTCTGTTAAAAATCAGTCTGGAAGTCTCAAGGGACCTTATGCTCGCCTGCTGACAGGTACAGCTGCGAAGTGGCAGAGGCACATGTCGCCAGAAAGTCACTGAGTAGCGAGAGCTCACCTGCCTTGATGTGAACTACAGATCAAAATCATCACAACATTAAAAAAAACCAACCCAAATTTAAATAGTAGTTAAAGTTGTAGGTGGCTAATAAGGCTACCTTAATATTCTTAGTCAATGTTTTATTTCAAATCAAAGACAGGACTTCTCAAGCTCAAAATGATCCCCTCTGCCCTATGCTACATACTTTCTGCTTCATGCAATGGTGTTGGCTTGGCAGATGTTGTTGATGGAGGTTTAGCAGGTGGCGATGAGGCCAAGGAAGGCGGCAGCTGCCCGCAGTACCGAGCCCCGGTGCCCCAAGGAGCGGCTGCTCACATCCCTGCATGGATGAACTCACCCAACCTCAGCCAGGCTGCAGGGGAAGCACGGGGAAAGCGACTGTGAGAGGCAAGTGATGCAATGCAAGGAGGAGAGGAGAACGCAGAAAATCGCAAACTTTTCTCCCCATTTTCTCAGCCCTGCAAAGTGGTAGCAAAGTGCTGTGTGCCATGGGAAATATTATATTTTATAAATATAATACCACAAAAAGGTCAGTTACTTGATATCTGCCTGGATTTGAAGCACCTGCTCCAAGTTAAATTACCAAATATGACAGCTCTGGAATTACCTGTCTCCCGAGGAGAGAGCAGACCGCCCAGGAGCCATCCATGCCCTGGCAGGCAAATACTTGGGATGAACAAACAGGAAACCAAACAGTTCATGTATCCATTCCCTGAATCAAAAGCTCAATAAGAAGGGATTGTGCATCTGGGTTACAGCCACTTCTACCAGAGGAAGAAAAAAGAGAAAGAAAAAAAAGAAAGGATGCAACATAATCCAACCTTGTATTTAGCTTTTAGGATATCAAAAAGGAATTGGTCTGGCTTTTGCCTACCAGACAGCCTTTGAAATGAATGGAGCTGTGTTCAGTACACTTATCCTCCTAATGAGGACAAATTCTGGCAGTTTACCCTTAGGTAAAAAGGAAAAAAGCTTGCACTGTCAGCTTGATGCACTCTTGAAAGAAAAATCAAGCTCCCATCTTATCTAAACCTGGGGTAATTTTACACATTCATCACTTGCCAGTAGTTGAAGCATGTTGCTTTTCACCAGGAGCTGTGTCTGATCAGATCAAGGGAAGGATCCAGGCCGAAACCAGCTGAAAGATGAATCCTCCCCTCCAGCAGCTGAGGTCCCAGCTCTGAGCTTGCTAGGGAAGGGGCAGTATGTGTGCAACGTGCTCCCTTGCCTTGCACCTCAGGTCTGAAGGTGGCTAGGAAACACAGAAAACTGAGTTGGAGTCCTGCACCAGCGTGCGATTTTGGGCAGCAGCACCCACCACACACCTCAGTGGAGAGCTGAACCTTCTGGCCAGCTGTTTCCAGCACCCTTGGCACTGCACGCACTGAGCTGAGCGGGATGAAGTCTGCATGCTCCATGCTCTCTGTTAGCAACATGCTTGGGAACCCATGACTCACTGCAGCTATTGCAAAGCACTGCCAGGAGTTTGGCAGCTGGAGAGGAACAAGAGGAGGATTATCCAGCAAGGCAGCCAGCAGCTCCCCTCTGCTCCCCACTCCAGTGGGCATAAAATGGCTCTTTTCCTTCTTTTTCCCCTGAAGGAGAAAGCCAGGGCAGCCCATCACTCCCAATCCATGCTGACCTATCCATAACGGTTGCTCTGACTAAATAAGTGCCTTGGATGCTTCTACTAAAGCGATCATGATGGAACTAGCATATTTTAAAATAATAATATATAGCATTATTTGATAATACATTCCTACCTCAGAAGCTCTGTTTCCTATTTATGCAAGATCTATTTTAGCTTTATGGTTCACTTGAAAAGTTTCACACTGTTTAAAAGTTACACCAAATTCAACAACTGTAGAAATGCTGAATAACGGCAGCTTTTTCTTTGAAAACACAGAAGATCCTCAAAGTCTGGTAAATTATCAGTTACCTTAATATTTAGCAGCAGCTGAAAACATTTAATAAGACACATTGCAAACCTCACAGCAGGCAAATGCAGTAATTTTTGATGTAGGCATATCTACTTGACAGCACGGCAGAAGCTAGTTAACTTCACAATTATAGAAAAAAGAGCCAGCGCAGCTTTGCTGTTACCCAAGGCAAAGAGACTCAGTCAATAAAACCAATCCCTGTCCCCCAGGAGCTATTCTGCTAAAGAGTCATCCAGCTCCTGCTATTTAAAAATCTCTGCTGGTAGGAGAACTGCCAGAATTAACAATCGATGTTCTAAATCAAGTGCAGTATCGCCAACACAGTAATGATTTTTATTATAGGAGTATCAGAGAATTAAAAATAAGTATTACTCTTACAGCCCTGTGGCAGGTTTGGACGGTGGATGAAAGGGAGGAGAGCCTGAAGCCAGGATCACCACGAGACAGCGCGGCAGTGTCCCCCACCCCGTGACATTAGCTTTTGTCACGTTGACTGGGTGCAAAATGCAGTATTGCAGCTTTTTCTCCGAGTGTCCTTTCTTTAAGTGGGACAGCTACTCAAACGTAAGGCAGCTCAAGGAATTATGGCATGAAAATGTACAGGAGAGCTTTAGACTGACACACATGTGAGAGTTTTATTCTCATGATAAGACAGACCTGTGTTGTACCAGGTTCCTGATATTCACTGACTTAGCAGCTGTATTTTACTACTCAAGTACCTTCCTTTGCGTGAGCCCACCTAA